GACTTATGCTGTCGTCGAAGGCCCTCCGAAGGCTTCCGCACGGGGAGCTACATCCAACCGGTTCCCCCGGCGCTGGCACACCGTCACTGTGGACTTCATCGTCGAGCTCCCCGAGGCCCATGGGTATGACGCGGTTATGGTAGTGGTTGACGCCCTCAGGAAACGCGCTCACTTTACCGAATGCCATACGACAATAGACGCGGTCGGAGCTGCCCGCTTGTACTATCGGAACGTCTGGAGACACCACGGAACCCCGAGAAGTACATTTCGGACCGCGGTTCGCAGTTCATCGCTGACTTTACGCGAAACTCTGGCGCTTAATTGGCGTCAAGCCGGCTACCTCTACGGCTTACCACCCGCAGACCGACGGACAAACCGAACGCGTTAACCAGGAGCTCGAGCAGTACATCCGAATCTTCACCAACTACCAACAAGACGACTGGGACGAGCTTATCCCTGCCGCTGAGTTCGCCTATAACAACCACGTTCACTCCTCCACTCAACAGGTACCCTTTATGACGGACACTGGCCGGCTCCCGAATGGGTTTCGAGCCGGGCACCCGCTCAGAGTTGGAGTCAGTGAACGAGTTTCGCGATCGGATAGCAAACGGCGTCTCCGAGGCGAAGGCCGCGCTCGTCAAAGCCAAAGACGAGTATAAACGGTACTACGATCGGAGACGATCGGACGCTCCGAATATTCAAGTTGGTGATAAGGTTTGGTTAGATGCCTCTGACATCAGAACAACTCGGCCCTCCGAGAAGTTCTCCCACAAGCGCCTCGGACCGTTTAAGGTGCTCGCAGAGGTCAGTAAAGGTGCCTACAAGCTCGACCTCCCCCGCGTTACTCCAAGCTCCACCCCGTCTTCCCCGTTGTTAAACTCGAGCTCGCTCAGGACGACCCCTTCAATGGACGACCCGGCTACGACGAACCGCCCCCGAACTAGAGGACGGAGTCCCCGAATGGGAAGTCGAGGAAATCTTGGATGCCAGGATAAGGTATAAGCGTCTTAACTACTTCGTCAGGTGGAAAGGCTACGATGCTTCGCACGACTCGTGGGTTCGGTTCGACCGTGTCTTCGCGCCAGACAAAATTGCGGACTTCTATCGGAGGTACCCAGGTAAACCACGGCACATCGCCTCAGCGACCTTCGACTCCTTGCCCTTCCGAACTATGCGTCGGGATGCCGATTCAAAGGGGGGTGATGTCAGGGGAACCCCCCGCGGCCTCCTTCGACCCTCCGAATGCATCCGAGGCGCATCCGACCGGCGCCCCCTCGGACGCTCCGACCCACCCCGACCATCGTCCACGGCCTCCTTCGCCCGCACAATCACCGATCCGTCAAGACCCTCCCAACGATCACCCTGGGACAGAGCCTGCGACGCCGCTCAGGCCTTCTGCGCTCTACGTCGGCAGTTACGGACGACCAGTATATAGTTGGCGCCCTAGCAGGCGGACCCTTAGAGTTTCTTCTCTTTGGATCCTCCCCTGCTAGGTCGGTCCCTCCGTGTATTTCCTGTAGTCTTATTCACGCTTTGGATCCTCCCCTGCTAGGCTTTCGTCGGAGTCTCCAGGGTTGCCCTTATAAATACAAGAGTTCCGGTTGCTGTTTATTGGGTTTCGGTTGCTGGTCGAGAGTTTAAGGCGGTTAGTTCCTGACTCGAGACAACTCAGAGGGTTTAAGGCAGTTAGTCCTGATCCAATGAGTATAAACTCTCCAGGCATCGTATTGGCACTTCTCTATTGCGGAGTTTCGTCAATAGTACACTTTGGGCACACAAAATCAATGTTTTTTGCAAGAAACTCGTATCTACCCTACAACCTTACACATTTGTGCCAAGGCTCTGTTCACAGGGGCCTGTTCTCGCACAAGGAGTTGACGATTATTGGGTTTTGTGACTTTTCCTACTCGACATTATACATCTTTCTCTCTACGAAAAGTGGAGTTTGGTGTTTTTGTTGGTTAGGTTGGTTAGAGAGCTCATTTGCCGTCCACACTCATCAGCGTACCATGTACTCTATCGCTTAGATCGTCTGAAGAACTACCTTACTCCGTGCAAGGAGGTGCCATCAACTCACCGGGCCCGACATGACCCGATTTGAACCTTTGACCACCGACAGCAACAAGGGACCGAGTTAACAGGCCCTTTCGGTTTCAATCTACCCCGCTCGCCATACTTGCGGGCCCAACGATCCGTCTGTTCTGTTCCGGGCGCGCGTTCTTAGGAGAGGTCCTTGCACAGCCCGACCCGCAGTCTGACAGATCACCCCTTAGTAGGCCTGCATATATAAGGCATGATGGTGTACACTATACTCTATCACTTAGATCATCTATTGTACTGCTTCTCTTTGTGTAAGGAGTGTTGAAAGAATAGATGCTAATTCAATGAATTATTACGGATGATCTCTGATCTGGACCACCACCACCATCACCAACCCTCAGACGGCTCCCCCAACGGAGAGGGGCCCCCACATACACAGACACCATGCAACCCCACTGCTGACACCCAACATCGAATGCCCCTGCACTTTGCTGGGGGGGAGGAGCAAGCTCCCCTCATGACTGCCCTTGGGCTTTTGCTCGCAAAGGCCAGGGCGACCCTTGATGCTATGGAACTTGGCGCTTCTGTACCAGGTTACCCAAGCCACTTACAAGCCATTGCTGAGGAGTTACACCAGCGAATAACTGCAGCGCGACCGGCCGTGCACACATCGCTCCCGACTTTTGCCAGTGTGGCAGCACAGCCACCATGATCACCTCCGATGGCCATCAGACCAACCACAAAGCCAACCACTGTCAGCCGAGGGACGCAACAGGCAACACCACACCAACAACCAACCTCCTGCTCAGCATACCGTGCTGTTTTTGCGCTTCACCAAAAAAACTGGACAGCTCCAAGCGGCCATCAGAAACTGTGCTTACGACCACCCTCTGCAAAGTAACCAGCACCCAGAAATCAGTACTGCCACATATCAGAGGTGTTTCCTGGACACCACAGGGACACCTACCGGTGTACACCAATGCCCCATATACCGCGTGACAGCTACGTGATGACTACGAAGAGAAGATAATTGCACACGTTCAGCAACTTTGTGGCGCAAGCCCAGCACCGTTTATGGACATGGATGAGCCCTGGACATCCATTGTGGTACACGGGGCACCATGCAAGGAGATGCGGAAGTACAAGATGGATGACCTCTTCCAAGTCTTTGAAGCTGCGGGGGGGTACAAAGTGGGGAAATGCGGAGGTTTGCACCACTCACACGAAAAGACTGGACCACCCTGCCAAAGGCTACCATGTGATTCGATATGGCTAGTGAAGAATCGGCCCAACGCCTACTTGACCATGGGGTTGTCATAGCTGGAGCATTCTGCCGGGTATCCCGATACAAGCCACGCAGGAAGTCAACAGAGCAGATAACATCGTGAGGACCCTCGGCTCCCCTGTGATCATCCTGTTTTATAGCATACTAATCTTTTACAGAGATAACTAATGTTACCCATCTCCATGCCGCCGCCCTGAGCTACGCTGGCTGGAAGGGCAAGATACCGAAGGAAAGCACACACGAGGGGAGAGACAAAGTAGTTCTGGAGATGATTGATAATGGCTACCATACATTGTTTGTAGAGGCCAAATAACGGGAATAAAAAAAAAATGGATTATTACTGAGAAACAAGACAAGTATTTATACTACTACAGATATTCTAGCAAATTCTATAAAGTGAGTCAAAAGAACAGTGGAGTCCAGTGTGGAGAAAGTTCCCGACGTGTTGTGTGTCGGTGATGGCGCTGGAGCCTGGGCTGGCGCTGACATCATCGTCTTGGCAAAGGCTCGTGTTCGCCACTGCCAGATCTTCAACAAGGAGGTACTGCCAACTCATCGGGCCCAAAACAACCCAATTCAACCCCCAACACTGACTTCGACAACGTTAACAGGCCCTTTTGGTTCAATTCTACCCTGCTCGCTTTGCTTGCCGGCCCAACAATCTGTCTGTTCTGTTCTAGGTGCATGTTCTTCAGAGAAGTCTTGCACAGCCTTAAAGTCTGACAGGTTCTACCAGGGCAGAATCCAAAGAGTGAATATTGGTAAGCAAATACAAATGAAGCTTCTGAAATACACTACTGCATAGTATATGATTTGAAATATGATAAATGAAAGATGTTTAAAGAATCCTGGTAAGATATTCCAGATTCATGAAATACAAAAACACTAGCTAACAATGATAAGTTCAATACTTCAATGTAATAGAATTTTAACTAATAAAAATAAATTTTATTAATTAGCTATTGACCACCAAGTAGTACTAAATACTTGAAGTGGACTTCTGCTGGATGAAGACTCCTTGCTGGATAACTGAATAAATGAGAAAATGAGAAGGGGTTTTAGTAGGTATTCTCCCTTTGAAGAAAGGTGTTAGATGAACCACAACAAAGCAGGAGTTGCACACTAGTTCTAAGACATGCATAAAGGCATTTCCTCCTGAGTTTACTTCCTGGGATTTTTACTAGCAAACTCTGGTGCACCCAGCAGATATTCTTTGGAATGCTTCTGCAGACTGAAGTTCATTACTCCAAACACTCAAAAAAAAAAATAATAATATCATGTCATATCTCACATGTCACATGAGTCACATAAGTCACTTGTTTTTTATATCTTAAAAACTCACAAAAATCAGATATAGTTAAGTACTGTTGTCCTGTGGGATAAAGCCCAGATTTCTTAATATCTAGAAAATTTTTCTTTATGTCAAAATTTGCCATTTATCTACCAGTGTCTTTAACCAATGACTTTTCCAAGAGGGGAATTCCTCAATCAGCCCAGTGAGTCACCTATGCCCTCGCAAACTACACTTATCTACACAACCATGATACAATTACAACCGATAATAGTACAACAACGTACACCGAAAGCAAAGCAGACAAAAGGAAAGCACTACATGAAGGGTCGTCAGTACACTGATAGTCCATATAGGGCCAGCTGGCTCCGGATTTTTTCGCGTCTAGACCTCACTCGTCAGCGCAAACCGATACTTGCGCTCGAACGCCCCGCCCACGGCCCGCAGCCCGCGCTCCCACGCGTCGATCTCCGCGCCCGAGTAGGACGGGGCGACACGGGCATACGTGCCCTCTTGCTTCAGGTGGTTTCGACACGCCGCGCGCGCCCAGCGGACACTGACCTGCTCCAGCCGCGTCTGTGATGCCGGGCCGGCGACGGCCCGGAACACGCGGACCGCCGAAGCCCGCATCGTTTCATCCGCGTAGCGGTGCCCCTTGGTGAGGGCAAATGCCCGAAGGTAGGGAAGCGCCCGGAGAGCGCGGGCAAGGATGCTAAGGGGTTTCTGCCATGCTGTTGTCAGACACGAAATATACTTACTTGTGAGAAATGCAGCTACCTTGCCAAACGGAGTCGTACACATAAAATGGAGGTCCTCCAGTTTGGGGGTTGCAGCGCAGAGGTCGCGCAGAAACGCGGCATAGGCAGCCATGTTGGGCTCGACGTGGACCCAGATTTCGAGATTGGCGAGCAGAGGCATGGCCTTGAGCGCATCGCAGAGAGCGATGAACCGAGTGGAGTACAGCGGCTCGCACATCAAGTCGATCGTTGTTATGCTTTCCCAGCCCAGACACGGAAGTTGTTGGGCGATGCCGGAGAACTCCTCCAATGTTTGAGGCAGTTCGAGCTGGAACGCGGCATCCTCGTCCGGCGACATCCATCGCCTGAAGTTCCATGAAAGACGCAAGGCCGATAGCCGCGGGTGCCTTGAGAGAAAGCGTGGCATTTCGGGGGGTTGAGAGGCGAGACTGAAATCGGCATTGTATCCGAATGTGCCCAGTGTTAGTGATGTGAGCGCGGGCCAGTCGCCCTCGACGATTCGGTCGATTTGGAATATCCGTTGGCCGGCAGAGAAAGAGCATAATGTAAGCTCGGTGAGATTTGGACAGCGCGTTAGAAGCATGTCCCAAAGAGCAGGAGGGAGTTCCTCTCGCAGAGGGAAAACGGCTGTTATTCATCAACACCAATAAAACAGTGATGCTGTTTGCTTACAAGAGTCTGGAAGTCCATGACGGACAGACAGCGAGAAGAGGGTAAGATCATCGAAATTGAAGAGCTTTGGGGGCGTCAATCAATCATCGAACCAGGCTATCCACTGGCACATACCTCGCTCCGGGGGTTCAGAGACTCGAACCCGACATTGGTATACAGCTCTGTTAACTCCGGACATCTGGCAACCTGTTATCGGCCTTACAGCGACACAAACGGGGCTGTTACGCACGATTCGCGGAGCGTCCGCCACAGCGTGTTTGAGGGCATCTCGGTCCCATCCCAGTCGAAAGTCTTGAGTTTCTTGAGCCCCGGCGCGATTATGCGGACCATTTTCGCGACCCAGACTTCGTCGACAGCGCTATCGCGATTAGGCCACGCGAGATAGTAGTTTGGCCGGAGCGCCAGCTTGCGAATGTGGCCGCAAAGCTCCGGATGCCTCGCGAGCAGGTTGAGGCCGGACTCGCACGCACGGCTAGAGCGGAGATGCATCGTCCTGTAGAGCTCTGGCGCAAGCAGAGCCCGGAGATGAGAGGACTAGAGAAGCGTCAACAAAACTGGGAAAGGCAAGGGGGTTTGAGCACGGACACAAAGACAGAGATTGAGAATATCCGATGCGGGGAGCTCTTGCAGAATTTCATGGAGGATGTCTTCAGGTAAAGAAATTCCGGCGACAGGTTGTCCATGAGAGTTAGGGGTGAATGAAACGGTGCGGGGAAACAGCGCAGGCAGTTGCAAGAGAGCCTTGAGACTGCGCCTGCGCTGGCGCGAGTTGGAAGGGGTCCCAATCGCCATCCAGGCGAGCAAAGCGCCGAGGAGGGCGGGAAGAGAGGTGTCACGTAATCGTCACACCATGTCACGTAGAATAAGGTTTTTATCGGGCTTTGCTTAGCAATTGCCGCGACGCGTTTCGGGAGATCCATAGGACCACAAATAATAACATTCGACAGCATCCTACAGCCCATGTAAGAGATGGACCCCAAGTTTGCGATCAGCGGGAAAGTCTTGATCAATCTGATTCTTGTCAATGAGAGTTGACCGTAAAACTCATGTCTGACCTTCCTCGAGAGCTGATATACGCGATTGTGGACGCCATCGTCTCCCCGCTAGACCTCTCTGCTGACCCTTGGATCGTGGACAATGCATCCGAATACCTAACAACGCTTCGCGCGTGTTCTTTGGTTGCTCATGACTTCGTTCGACCTTGCCAGCATTATATCTTTCACGGCGTCACGATCGGCGAGGATGCAAGCCGTCTGGCGACAATCGTCAACCAGAGCCCACACATTGCTGGCTACATCAAGGCACTCTATATCGAATCCGCGCTGAAAGACGGCAACGGTGTCCTGGTCCGACAGTTGCTCACTCTTACCACGGGTCTCGAGCGACTGGATATCTACCCCGTCCCAAATGGTGCTCGGTGGGCAGCGGAGTACATGGCCGTGTTTGGTGACCTGGCCTTGGACAGCTTACACCATCTTACGCTGTGGTATTTTACCTTCGACAATGCTACGCAGTTAGAAAACCTATTATCCAAGAATTCCGGGCTCCGCACGCTCGTATTACGCTCAGTGACGCTCATGGACACATCCATATCTCAAACGAACGGGGAGACAGAACCACTGGTGACACTGGAGCGGCTAGACTTGTATTTTCTTGACGCGGCAAATGTCGCGGCGTTGGTGGGGGCATTCCAGCGGGTGGATCTCGGGAAACTCAAGTCTCTGTATCTCCACAACACGCCAATGAGCTCGCTTATCGAGCTAAACACTTCAACCCTGGAGGACCTGCGGATACGTGCCTATTTCCCAGGTGAGCTCTATCACCATTTTACTCTGCATTCCGAGTCACTCAAGTCATCAGACACGTTTCTCAACCAAAGTGTCGATGCCGACGCCCTCGTTGATGCCTCGCAGCTTCAGACACTGGACCTCAAAATCCCATTTCTCTCATCGCTCACCCAGATGGTCCGCCGCTTCGGGCCCCTGACCAATCTGGTCCAACTGCACACCATCGTCCTCTCCGTGTCGCAGAAGACGACCCCCGCGGAATGGACGGCGCTCGACCAGCTACTAGGCGTTGTCGCTGGTGATCTCCCAGGGCTGAAGCACGTGCGCGTGTACTCTGGGTCCCAGTGGAATTCTCAAGAGCCGCATCCGGAGGGTCAGATCCGACAATGGATGCCTGTGTTAGCAGCAAGAGGCGTTCTGAGACTGATGGGGCATGATACTACTGAGGGAGACGAATTCGCTGGCATTTAGACCCACTGATTTGTAACTGCTTACGAGCAACATCGCCTACTACTATAATACCAATACCTCCTCGCGTCAAGGCGCGTTCCAGCCCCGATTCAAGTTTGTTGCCAGTGGGGAAGTCATACTTTCAAGCTTGCCTTGAATCATTGAATGCCCACAGTCCACTAATTTGAAGGGTTACACCGGGGCTGAGGCTGAAGATTTTACCGGGGATAGCATCCCCGCCCGCAGTAAATTTAGTGACGACGACGCTCTGGTTTGCTGTTTAGTTGCTGTGGATTATGATTTGAGGCATTGCAATGCCATGCCATGAAGCATTATAATTCTTGAGAACTTTTGGTCGATTTCTAATTCGTGTCTCATATCAACTGCCAGTGAGTACTCAATGGTTTCAACACCCACGAGCAACTTTCATATGGTCGGGGCGCGCCACCGTTGGAGCTCGAGTAACACGGAGACCAAAAGGAATTTCCCGGCCATTGTCCAACAATCGGATTCGTGCAACAGAATCTCCTTTGTGACTGGCTATCTGAGAAGACGCATCTATCCACGCTTGACCATCGTATCAAACTCCCCATTCTCCACCATCTCCTGCACAATGTCGAGACCACCCACGAGCTCGCCATCAACAATGAGCTGCGGGAACGTGGGCCAGTCGTTCAGCTTCTTAAGTCCTGATATGAAGGCGTTAAGAGAGCGTGAAAGGATAACGAATCCCGAACGACGCACCCTGCCTGACATCTTCGTCGCTCAGAATATCGAAATGCGCAAAGTCGACAGCATGCTCCCTCAATAATGTCGAGATTTTGCGGCTGAAACCACAACGCGGCTCCTCTGGTGTGCCTTTCATGAAGAGAACGACACGGCGCTGGTTCATCAGCCCCCGCATTCGCTTCTCGAGCTCCTCGGGTGTCTCATTCGAGGGAGGCTGTTGTGTTGGGGTTTTGTTGGATGGAGCGGGAGCAGGGGGAGCGGAGAGGTGTTTGGCAATGGCTTGTGTGAGGGCTGGGGCATCAGCACCAGAAATTCGTGCGAGGAGAGTGTGGCCCTAGATCGTGGTCTGATTATTAATCCCGACCGAGACAAGCCCGAGACACACCCGTAAAACGACGAAGGAGGGGACCGCCTCGACGTCGAAAGACTCGGCGATGTCTGCTTGTTCTTCTGCTTCTACGTTGAGCACCAACAGGGCCGGATGCTTCTTCGCCAGCTCAGCGACCACAGCGTTCATCTGTGTGCATGGCGCAGCCCATGGAGCCCAAAAGTTTATGAGCGAAATACGAGTGAGGTCGGAGGATAATGTTGCTTGAAATTGCTCGACGGAGGTAATGGGGATGAGATTTGCGTTGGCGTTCAGAGCGTTTGGTGGTGCGTTGGACATGGTGGAAAGTGAGAAAGAGAATCTAAGCGAATCGCGTGATGTCACGCAAGATTTGCTTTTTGCCTTTCACCACTAAGCAAATCTGGTGTTATGGGCAGTGTTGTCTACCATTAACACCAGAGACGCACTAGCAAGACAGATTGCCTACCTTGCACTTATTATCAAGATTGGTACAAATTGTGTCTCTCCAGCAATATCATTATTAGTACACGATATTCTGTAGCATTACGCATTAACTTAAGCAGCTTTGGACTGTCGTTTCACAATTCGTTATTGGGCTTATCGCGAAGACTCGCAGGCGTTGACTGTCTTTTGTTAAGCTTCGCCAAAAACAAGGGAAACGAGGACACCCACATCGAAGCGCTCAAGCGCATATGCATCCCCCCTCCGACTCCCATCGTCAAACTCGTAATCTCGACGCGATGTCGATGTAATGGTCACCCGCCCTGGATCGGCAAACGTCATTCGCTCCTCGTTATTTGTTCCCAACCCCAGGCCGGCAGAAAACGGTTGGCTTTTCTTCGCGCTAGTGCTGCCGGTGTATGTGTTAGACATGCCCGTCGACGACTGCACGTGCGAGGAGCCTGCTTTATGGATGAACGCGCGGTTGTTGAAGGTGACGAGGAGGGTGTTAGCATACAACTTCGCGAGGACCATCGTTGGCGCAATAAAATAGCTGTGATAAATCTGAGCGAGACAAGAAAAAATAGGGAAGTTATGCACTAACGTCGTATTGGGAGTTCCATAGAAGAGAATCAGGGAGATGATGGCAACGACGGTTGATGCTGTGTTTGTCTCGACAGTCAAGCGTACAATTCGCTTCACAATGTCATTTGTCTGCCGATGCTGCTGTTGTCCCGCTTTGAGAAGCTATAACGACTTAGAAGACTCATACGAAGAGAACATGCCCTCACTAGATAGGTCATCGTCACCGCGATCAATACATCGGCGACAGCTTCGCCAATGAGCCAAAGCTGTCCTCTCGTTAATGGCGTGGAGAAGAACAAAAATAGTCGACAGACGTAGACGAAGATAACCCGATTGTGGTCATGCTCCTCATTAGCACTGAGATAAGAAGAGATTCCACCACCAAGACCCCCTGCTGCTTGGAGTAACGATATCTTCGAGCTTTCGTTAACCAATAGGCAATTTTGGATCATCAGATACACGCACCAGGAGTATAAATATGCAAAGGGGCCAGACCTGGCGCTTGATAATGTAGATGCGCCAGGAAAAGAAAGTTTGTACGACCAATGCCATAACAGAGCCCAAGATCGGCGTGTAGAATGGCGAAACATGCGGCTTAGAGAATCGCAGAATGTCCCCGAATCCGGCTGAAAAAACGCTAAGGAGCAGTACTGATCATGGAAGGAAAGACATACCTGCAAACCAATAGTAAATGTCATAGCCATTTAGAGCCGTGGCGACGGTTTCGACGAGGAAGATGAGGTAGACCAGCCACTTGATTGTAGCTTTGTCTGATGGGAACGACAGCCTCCAGATGTCTGGTGTTAGGTGAGTGGGCGGCGAGGAAAGGACAGTTCGGTCAACTCACAAACTTGGACCGCCAACACGCCGTATAAGCAGAAATTAAGCAGAGAACCGATGAGCTAGGCGATATAATCAGCACTTGAAGCAACTGAGCGGTCACAGGCTTCTACCTGGGAAGCCGCACTAGACGTTGCATCAGTATGCAAGGTTTATAGTTTAGTTGAAGAACACCTACATGGAGCCGATATTAGGGGGAATGGGAATCGCAGGAGCCGACATGGTGAAAAGACAAGAGAACGGAATAAGAAAATGAGCTAGAAGTCCGTTTTCATTCGGGGCTCCGCCCTTTTATATATGTGAACCTAAAACAGGTCTGAAATCAGAGAAACACTCGATACTGACCAGTGGTATGCGCACCGTCTACATTAGAAATTAGAAAGATTGTCGCAACAGCTTGACCGCCTCGGAGAGCCGATCTTTGGAGCCCTCGGAAGGCTCGTTGGACGACGCCAAGGCCAGCCATGAGGATCCAAGGCGGTGCGGGTGGTGAGAGGTTATTAACCTAACTAAGTAGGTGATGACAGCAAGAACAGAGGCGCAAGGCCGCCTAATGTCACGAGTCTTGTCTCTTTCCTCTTTCTGTCAACCGTCAACTCACCCTCCTTAAGCTTCCTGTAGACCCACTATTTGCATCCTCGCGTGCAGATCGCGCCCGAGGTAGCATATGTCTTCCGAATATCACGCCTTTCGAAACGGGCATGTGTAACCATCGAACAACAACACGGACACAACAATAGATTACCCAAGCACAGGCGAACTGAGGACGGAGGTACTCTTCGGAATCGGCGCGAGCTAAACTAACTTCGCTGGAGGTTCATGTACACCACAAAGTTACTTCGGCCCCGACTCGGACTCTGGGCGTCTTTATGAAGAGGCTACAAGAACAAGATAGTTCCCTGCTCCTCTCTCTTGGACCGTGTCCAGTATGGGTGAAGTTGACTTGTCGGTGACTTATGGGGCGATGTTTGTCGGAGGTCAGTCATTCAACACGATCTCCGGAGTTGACACATCCTACTTTTAGTTCTTTTTGCGACCTTGTAAGGTGTCTGTCTGTATGTCTTGCCAGCTTCTATTGATGGCCGGCGCCGCCGTACAGTTTCCAAGGAGTTTTGACTCTGCAAACGTATCTATATTACGCCAACTTCCCCAAAGACCATATTTTTATCAAGCTCCTTGTTGCGTGCGTCTGGTATGTTGACACCTCAGGCTGCGTTTTTTTGGCTCGTATCTTACCCGTCGATTCCAGGCTTCTCGATGTCGCCCATCTGGTCCTCATATCCCAGTCATGCTACCACTATCTTGTTCAAAGCTGGGGCGACGGAGCCGCACTTTTGATCTCCACGCAAGAGCTTGATTTACACCTCGTATTCGTCGGCTTTGCCTGCTTCGTATGTCAATGCTTCTTCCTGTCCCGGTTCGCCAGATTTCTTTCCTCCTGTAGGTGCCACACTCTGACCGCCTGCATAGTATCTGGAACTTCAGCCAAAGGAACTGGATGTTAACAATTGTCCTTGGCATTCCTTGTTTGGTGATTTTTATCCTCGAAGCCACCATCTCGGGTGAGATCAGCCGCATTCCGAGCGTCTCCGCCTTCGACCAATTCACGGGGGAAGTGCTTTCTGTATTTGCTCTAGCAGCAGCTGGTAGGCTGTTGTCCCCGTTCCGACAATAGCTAATCGCAAGCCTCAAGTCGACCTTGCTATCGCAATAATATTAGTCTGGTATCTTCGACAAGGGAAAACAAGCTTTGATCGGTAAGCAGACGAATTGTCATGGCAGCCAAATCCAATTTATTGGTTTGTTTAGCTCCAGTTTCGTCGTGGATCGCATTGTTCAATACACTGTCGCTACCGGACTCGCCACAAGGTTCGCCCCCGGACCTACTTATCAGTCCATAATCATGACTAATCTTAGCGTCCTCGCCGTTGCCGACCTAATCGTTGTAGGCCAGCGCTGATTTCGTGCCTTCCCGACTAAATCTTCTTTTTAGTATCTCGCCACCCCCAACACCTTCATTTTCATTGTCTGTTCTGTTCCGACCCAATGGAAATTACTCATTACATAATACCAGGCCATGCACTTCTCTATGGGCCGTCTCTACACCAACGCTCTACTCGCGACGTGTGTATCGACCCTCTTATGTACAACATCTAATGCCCCAGTCAGACTCAACTCGCGCCAAAAACTGCGTCAAGCTCTCGAAGGCGGCGGCGCTAACTCACTTGCGTCGCGAAATATGGCCCATGCATCGACAGGGCCGTCATTCGCCTTTCAAGTCAATGGAATTCAGACCGGGACGACGACGACAAACGTGCATTGTTGCTCCTGCTATTGTTTCAGGTGGTCTTTCTGATCTCTCAGGCAGTCCGGAAGGCGAACCTCGGTCCTTCTGACGGAGCATACGGAATTGACGACAACTCAACTATCGCGCGCGGGCAAGGAGGTCGAGGGAACCGAGGTGGATTCCTTTGTATAGATTTCTTTGGGACTTGGGCGCAACTCAGCTAAGAAGAGGGACTGTTTTATCTCGATATGCTGTGTGATTTTATCTATCAAATGCTGTCAGACAACTGTAAGAAGTGCTTATTTGGGCTTGAGTCTTGGAGTTTGAAGACTCATCAGCATACGCACTCTGCTACGGGTGTAATACGACATATCCGGACGGAAAATAAACCTAGTAAGTATGATGTCGTCCTCGATCTTGTCCCCCATGCGGGGATTTAATCGACAGTGAGCAAGGTAAATGGTTTATATGTTGGATAAAACAGTCAGTTATTTGAGCTTCAGCGTACTGCAATAACCGTCACTGCATTCAAACCGCGCGGTAGTCAACCTCATCGAAGACAAGCCCATAAAGCCCGCCGTCTTGACCCGCCTTTTTGAGTTGATCCACTGCGCAAGTAAGCTGATAAGTGAGACTTCTAAGCACATTTGAACGAGCTTACAGCTGGAATCAGTGTTGATTGCAAAGCCACCGAGAGCAATGAAGTTTCCATTAGCAGTGACGCGGAAGGCCGTCCCAGAGCCGCTATTGCCATAGGGCTGAGATACATGCTGTTATGATTATATTCCGAAAATTGAAGAACAACGTACGCCTGAGATGCGCAAATTTCCGGTCTTGCTGTCGTAGATGGCGAAGCTGAGCTGAGTGACACGAATCCCCCAGGAAGAGCTGCCGGATTTTCCGGAGATGGCAATGATAGATTCGGTATCTGAGAAAAAGTACTAGTATAATGACTGCATAGGGAGTGTGCTCAACGCTTACCACCAATAGGGATGTCACTTTTGTGGAGGCTGCTATCGTCGCAGTCCGAAGAAGTGCCGTGGTGCACAGTCTGCGTACCGCCAGACGAGGACTTGTAGTACTTGACTTCGATTCCGTCGATCTGATGAATTAAGTTCTACTGAGGACCATGGATGTATCGACTGACGACGCCGCCGTGCATGATCTTGATGTTCTTGATTGGCTTGGAGGTGTCGATGGTGATATTCACGCTACCAAGCACTGAAAAACGTTATAGATGTCAGCAGTGACCTCCGTCCGACACAGAATGGCGCACCATCCTCGAGGTCGTTGAAGTGGCTGCCTTTGCTGTCGCCGAAGAGGTTGGACGAGACGAGGGCGGTGGTGTAGGTGGTCATTGCGGTTCTGTTTCAGAGGATGTGATTGCTGCTCTGACTTACCAACTCGACACGTCTGACCTTTTATACCATAATTCCCTACCCAAGAATAACTTGAAGCTATTATCAATGGCGCAATCGACGTATGAAACGAAGGAGGAATGCTCCTCTGAATCTTCTGACCATTCTTGAGACTTCAAGTTGAGAAGCGGAGAAAGCGAGCCTGAGTGCGATTGTCCCAGATAGAGGTTAATAGGCGCTGGGGTGTCAGACACTTGTCGACCTTGTCATTTCATGGGCTTGGGCTCATCAACATGAGGCATTTTGAGAATATCCTGGTGCGGTTGTCCTTGAGCCCTCAAGGCTAAGGTTGCTCTGCACAAGACGGAGAATATAGCGAATACTAGGAGGATACTGTAATAGTAAATTAAGAGCGAGATAAATTCCAAGAAAATCAAAGCCACAGTGGTAGCGCACCAGTATTTTTGAACGTTATAGTCCCCACTGGCATGTTGTTGAACAAGTAGCAAGTTTGACTGGGCCATGGCCACGCTTATTCAATAGTGACAACAAGCATGGACCACGAGCCAGTCCAGAAGTCAAGTACGAACATGGACAAAATGAAGAAAAGTCCTATAGTGCAACTGATGCCCCTGGATCGACAGTTTCGGCGTTTGCGTTGGTCTGTGTCATTGGTTGGATTGCGAGTGGCTTCCGAAGCATCTTTTGAGACTCTAAATGCTTAGAGGCAACACTGTAAGTAGTAAGTTGGCGATATGTATGTGATAGCAGGATACCACATGCAGTCGAAGACTCCGATAGCAGCAGTATTGTCACTTTGGGTAGGAAAAACCTTTATATGTCGACAGTGGTTGGTCTTGCTTCTCAGAGGTCTTGACAGGTCGCTATAGGATCCGTTACAACAAACGCAGGGTTAGTTGGGACGGAGTTCCTGATATTTCGCGGCAAGACTCGGACGCTTGGCCATAGTATTAAGCAGTTTGAGCAACTCCAGAATCTTGAGGTTGTTCAAAAGCCCTGGATATAACCAAGCAAAGGCGCGATGCTGACAGTGCCGGCGTATTCCTGACAACTCCCTGCAAACTTGAGCGCGTCGGACGAGATGCGGGATTGGTCATTTATGACTGGGTGAAACCGGGTCAACGATGAGTCATAACGATGCCAAATCTGGTCCGTGACCTGCCTTTTCGGGTGATTGTCTTCACCTGTTTGCTTACGACCAAGTGAGCAGAATGCCCAATCCGCAGCAGCAAAGCGCTAATTTCTCTACCTCTTCAGGCATCCGCAGCTATCCGATGCAGTTCAGCGTCTTCTTCGACGGAATACCTCATATGCAGCCTGAGAGTCAAGACGCCAAATGGGTGCAACAACTTTGAAGCGAGTCTAGCGGGAGAGTGGCTTTGTAAGGCAAACTTTCTTCGACGCTTTACTTCGCGCTATGCCTTGCTCAGCAGCCTCGTCATCGTCACGAGCCGCCGCTTCAACGACGGTGATATAAGGCGCGAGGCGGGGGAATGGCAGACGGCAGTCAAACAATCCGGATGAGTCAAGAAGGGTCCTTGAGCGCAAAATTGGCAAACTTAGAGAAAGGAAAGGCGTGTTTGAACTGCAGGTACCTAGGACGTTACATAAAATGGCTTCTAACAGAGCATTTACAGGCGTCGTAAAGTGGTCAGTACTTGACCTTGATCCCACAAGAGTCTTAAATGGTTATAGAAGTGCGATGGTCGTCGTCCAATTTGCACTCCTTGCTCCAAGTTTCTTCGAGGCGGTCTCCATGATTGTGAATATACCGATACTGGCCCAACTCAAGCTCAAGTTCTCGAGGGTATTGTTTTCCATGTGGTCACTCTGCTGTCGCTAACATCCAACTCACAGAAAAGATATCGATTCTAGAGTCAAGGATTCAGGAGATGGAAAGCCCTTTCCAAGCTGGGAGCTCAGTCGGACTTCATAACCCATACTATCCGGGACAAGGCCACTCCACACATCCGTCTCTTGAAGGGACTCGTCCACGCACCCCAGGTGTTATTTTTTCGAATCCTAGTGAGTGGAGTCTGTTCATTTGCATGTTTCTACTTCTTTCTAATCTGTGCAGCAGCAATGCCGGTACCATCTTTACGTTTTCCTTACATATACCATCGATTCAATAAATCCTTCTGGCAGGCTGAACGGTCGGGGCCTGAATCAATTGCCCTCGCAAGGACCCTGTAAACAATCACTTCGCCTGGATCTAGTACTTCACTCACATACCCTAATAGCATCCTTTCTTTCGGGGCTAATTCATCTTCATTCGGCCTTTTTTTCCTCGATCCACGTCTTTTCGATCCGCTTTTCCAAGAACATGGCTCTCATCGAAGTCAGGGACCTTCCGCTGCTTTGTTGGATACTGTCTGCCTATGGGGCGCACACTTGCAACCCAATATCGAGCCAGAGACGGCCATGCACGAGTCGCGTTTTCTCGCCGCTGCTCTCCATAGTGTTTCGACTGGCCTCACGAACGCATATACTCCCGGCGCCATTCTTCAAGTACTGCAAGCTCATATCCTTCTTGCTGCTTACCTGTTCCGAGTGGGCAGAGCTGTTGAAGGACGATATCATGCTGGCGTTGCAGTCAGCATCGTCATGGCCGCGGGACTGTGGCGTATAAGATCGGGGAGAAACCTTTCCATGGCGGTCGGGAATGTTTCCTCCAGCTTGAACCCGTTGGACGAACTGACCCCTGCAGTCACTGGGTTGGAGGAGGGGCAACGTATCGATGCATTTTGGAGTGTTGTCGTCCTTAATGCGATATGGGTGCGATCTCCGTCCTCAAAAAGAAGTTCTTAACTAATGTGATATAGTGCCAGGATCCAGGCATTGCACTAGCTCCTCCGAGTTTGGAGTATGGAATTGTCGATACGCCGTGGCCTTTAGAGAAGGAGCAATACTCTGGGGTATGTTCATCGTTCTTCCCGCCCCATTAGATTGCTTATCTCGCCACAGGACGCTCGCGCTTTACCAGAGCAGAGTGCGCGCACAATTGCCAAGTTTATTGGCGACAGTGACCAGACTAACCATCCTCAAAGCACGAACGTCTCGGCTCTGTTTGCAAAAGCAGCCATTATATATGAGCAAGCTGTGAGGAAACAAGGAAACCTTCAAGTGTTGAATCAAGTCTTGGAGAAAATAACGAGGATTGTGGAGCGCGTCGATGTCAATCCACGGACATTGCTTCTACACTCGCTCGTTCACGCCGGTAGCATCGCCCTTCATGCACAATCTTCGAGAACAAAATCAATGGCGGCGGCTTCAGCCATCGTCAGACTCGTTCGTACGGCCGGGGTAACGGGTTATCGTGATGCGTGTCTTGGGGTATGACAACTTCTGCAATTTCCTTCGTTCAAGTTGATAATTGGATTGTTAGACTATTTGGAGCTCTGCATGCGACATATTCCTCTTGGCCCTCCCTTCCGACCCGCGCAACCGCGCTTGGCACGAAGGAGTCGAGGCGCTTTTATCGGCTTTAGAAGCGCTGAAGCGCCAAGGGTGCACGCTCGCAACATTAGAGAGCCTCAAAACGCGCTACGCGGTTATTGTGCAGACCCATAGAAGACGAGGAGGTTGATAGAATCGGAATGTTCCGACTGCATAGATAAAATAGATGGTAGACAACATAGATAGAGTCTTGAACCGTAACAAAGTGTCGGGTTTGCTTTTTGAATCTTGACCTGAATCCATTGGCTGTTTGGGTTAACGTTGAGTACTTATTTTTTTTTGGTATGAACAATGGGAGGTGCACTGAACCTGCTGCACAGGCACATTATGAAGCAAGATAGTACTTAGAGCAAGATATTGGGGGTGTCGTTATTAATAACGTTCTTCAGATTGAGGCCAGTCATGCAGCTGGATCGAAGGTGCGATGAACTCGGACCACCTAAGTCAACAGGGCTGGCGTTTCTGAGCTGCTGCTTCAACTGAATAAAAACACTTAGCTCAACTTCGCCAGCGTGCCGGGATAATCCCGGGCCGGTGATGGGTGATCTGCGACAATTGTCAGTAACAAATCAGTCTCTCACTCTGACTCCACTCTACCCACACATCGACTTGCTCCTTTCGCTTTCAGCCACCAGCGACTCAGGGCGTAGACACTCGTCGTCCGCTCACGAAATGGGTCCTTCAATGGGCCAATACTTAGGTCGCAAAAACAGACTTCCTATTTGAATTTCTGAGCGCGGCTGTCAATGGTAAGTATATTTACTCGTGTACCGCTGAAAGTCCCAGGAGATTCAAGTAGATTTCCACTCCTGCTCTGCGCGCTCTAAACGGCGCCAATCTGACTGCCAGAAGTCCAACACTCCGAATCTGAAGAGAGTTTGAGTCGAGGGCCGAAGTCGTTGCTGACGCGCTGACGCTGACTGACACATTTGATCCGCCGGTATTTGCATGACTCGGGAGTCGGAATAGACGGTGATCCAATTAACGGAGGCAAATCTGAAGATTTGGATTCTGAAGGTCCTGAAAACAAGACGGAAAACTCTCCAAGCAATCTCAAAGACCCGAGTGAATCGTCCACGCCAAAAACTACAAATTGTGCCCTCATTGTGCCTTCGAGTCGTCCGAATGCCTGAACTGTTATCTGAACTTGAACAGCCAGGTTAATATCTGAAGGCACTTGTTAATGAGGTTCGTGTTCCCAAAGTCAAAGTCAATACTATTGTTGGCTGTGGGCCAACAGAATTAGCGGTCCATCTTCAGGAGGTCCTGGAAGCATCAGGCGTCAAGAGCGACATGAAGCTGTGTGACAACCACTTTGCCTGAAGTGTGACCGCAATCTTGACGTCTCCCACTTTGCTGGCGGACGATAGCTTTACTTGAGCTTCACCTCTGCTCACTCTATCCTTACTATTGACACCATCCTCGCACTTATACCCCCGAATGCTACCGCCACAGACACTAAAAAAGCAACGGACCACATTTTTGCGCTTTTCCATTGACTTGCGGGACGATCCCCCAATCCCAGGTGACATTGAAGAATATTACGGCCATGAGTCGCGCGCGACGCGTGCAGTGAAGGACTCCCGACGGTTCATGACCGTGTTGTTCAAGGCCAAGAATGACAAGCAAATCGAGAGTTGGTTGAACCGAAAGGAAAAGCTATACAATGCTCAGGGTGAAGAGTACGTTATCGACCCCAGAAGTTACACATTATTTTCTTAATGATCTTCAAGATATACCTTCTTTGGCTTTACCGAAAACAACGTCAAGAATGGACACATACTGTACTTTCAAGAGGGACCAGACTGGTCAGTCAACACTCTCAAACGGTTCTTTGGGGAGGGACTCTTTGATGTGTATCGACGGGGCGGATACGGAAAGTATGCGGCCCGGCTGGGTTTATCATTCTCCTCGACCGCCGAGTCTCTTGAGGTTCGTTCTACGGTCGACGCTGTTGAGTCACTGACGCTCTCAATCCAGATCTTGCCTCAAGAAACGCACATGCTACAAGATATTACTGCCGATGACGGTTCTCTGACGAGCGACGGATCTGGGCTTATCCGCGATTCATTTGCGCTCGAAGTGATCGCTTTTCTTCAAATACCGTCAGAGACCTCAGGTGTGTTCCCCGTGGCCGATTGACTTCTCTTGCTGAGCTATTCAGTATTTCAAATTCGTCATGGAGGCTACAAAGGCACCGTTACACGCATCCCTGACACACATTTTGACCGGCAATGCGGGACTGGCAAGAAGGTCGCTTACCGACCTTCAATGCTCAAGTACACAGGCGGCCTGGATGTGCTGGAGATACAGAGTATTTCTCGAACACCAAGAGTCGCTCGCGTCAACAAGCAGTTCATCATACTGATGCTCACCCGAGGCATATCTCTCCAGGTGATTGAGGAGATGCTCCAGCTTCAACTCCAAAGCATCGGGGAGATGACGACCAGTCGAGAACGGGCTCTTCACTATGTCAATGGGGAGTTGGATTCGGACGAACCATCTAATGGACTCGTTCAGGAAAGTGAGTGCTGGCTAATTCCACGTTCATTGTTTGACAAAGTACGGTTTAGTTTACGAAATGCTGCTTGCTGGGCACGATATGGATGAGCCTTATCTGGCCATTCTTCTACACCGATTCCAGAAAAGTGCCTACGACAGCTTGCGAAACAAGTTGAACATTATTGCCCCTGCATGTCGTCTCCATCCCCATTGCGGCCAGTGATAACCAGTCAACAGCGTTCATACTATCTCTTCGGTGTGGTTGACCCTTATGGAATTCTCCAAGACGGGCAGGTTTACATCAACTTGCCGAATCGTGGCGGTCCTCAAGTTGGCTCCCTGGCTTTCTTGCGCAATCCCGCCTACGATGCAGACGGCAAGTATTCATCATCGTTAGCTACTGCTATTGCTAATTATACTCCAGGCTATGTTGTTCTTGAGGGCGTCAATGTCCCACAGCTGTCCCACATAGTCAATGCGATTGGTATATCGCTTTTGCATTTCGGAGTACTCTGGACTAACATTTGGCCAGTTTTTCCTGCCGGTGGTCGGACCAGCCAAGCTGCCCGGATGAGTGGAGGGTATATTCGACAACCTTTATCTTTTTTGCCACTCAAACACCTTTAGCGATCTTGACGGCGACTTGTACTTCGTGACGACGTATTTACCGCTCATCCCCGAGGACCGGCCTCCTCTTCCAGCAGCCGCGTTGCCCGTATACAATCCCCCGTCTCGTCGCGGGGGAATTGGCGCACCACCTTCGCAAATGCCCGGACCACCTGATAGTCGTGGTGCCGAGTCCCGAATCACCGACGAAGACATGTTTCGCGACGCAATCAAGACATTTACTGATCATCGACATAACTTCTTACTCGGAAGTCTGTCGAACGAGTTCATGAAACGGGTGGTGACAACGCGACAGCTGGCAGACGCAGACGACTGTCGTGCTCTTCTTCCGCTAATTCTGGCAGCATTGGTGAGAGTACTGTCTCCCATTCTTCTTCTTCCTGATTAGACATTCCAGGATGCGTTGAAAAACAATGGTGCAATGGCACTGCTACGATATGAATTCTGGAAATTCAAGAATGATAATCCTGAACGGACATCGACTCGATTCAGGGACCCACTAGTCCACCTGGCGAACCAGGTACCTACTTTGGGACCCAGGGTGATCGAAGAGTTTAGACCGGACCCACACCTTATCCTCAAAGATTCCATTGGAGCCGATGCATGGGGTCAACGTATACAGGAAACGGTCCCAATCATGAATGACTATGGTAGAGAATTGCAAACCGCGATCGCTGCTGACGACGAAGCAAGTGAGTATTGCTGTCTGGTCTTAGTTTCGTTGGCTGATTCAATGTCTTCCTCAGAGGCAAGGAAACTTGAGGAGGACGACGACGAAAAACGAGCAGATCTCGTGAAACAGAAGTTCTTCGAGCGAGAGTTCCCCGGTCTGTTCCTCGAACATCATAATTGTCCCATTGACATCCAACAGAACTCACGCAACAAAACGTGTTGGTACGATTGCCGGAGAGCCTTCTCAAAGCGTCGATCTTGTGAGTCTAAATCAATAAGTGCAGTTCTGGACTAAAGTGCACAAGTTATGCGACCGGATACGCACATAAAAAGCAATCGTTCGCATGGCTTGGGGCACGATTCCTGAACTATTTGAAAGCGCTGTGTGAGTCTTTCTACTGCTTGCTATGGACATTCAGATTGAACCTTTCACATAGTCAGTGGTCGGAATTTACCTATTCCCATCGGACCCGCCTCGCGACCTTTGCGTCCCATTGGGTCTCTAGCATCCACTCCCCGACCGCCCTCTGCGCCGTCATTATCACGGGCTCGGTCTGGCGCATCGCCTGCTCCGAGCCCGCCTCCGTCTCGTCATACTCCTGCCGGCTCGGTCGCGCACTCAAGCCAGAGGAGCATCTCGCAGGCATTAGAGGACCCAGAGGAGAGTGCTGTCAGCTTGTGGGTGCGCGAAACTCGACAGGCACAGCCAGGCAGTCCAACTCCGTCGGAATATCGCGTAACTGCCACCCCAGCTCCCTCGATTCGCTCCGAAGCGATCACGATTTCCAGCTCAGCGACAAGCCGTGTTGCGCGCATTCCGCTTCCACCGAGTGTGGCGGCCACCGAGAATGATCTGCAGTCTGAGCGTCAGTTTTCGGTGACCAGTGCGTCTTCTGGAAGTAGGGCCCGCCAGATTCCGCTACCTGAAAGCACTCCGAGCACGCCTGGTGCTGCACTGCGTCGACAAATTATTATGGCGAACAGTCCGCCAAGTATAGGGCCACCGTCAAGCGCTGCAACGCCATCCACTGGGAGGTCAGCTCGTCATATTCCGCTGCCCAACAGTGTCCCCGCCACACCTGATAGGTCTGTCAACAATGACCCATCGACTCCAAGGCCCTCTCTGAGAAGACAAGACTCGGACACTGATATCGAGGATGACGGTTATGACTTGGTGCGACCAGAGAGTGCGGACGAGGCGGAAGCATCACACTTCCACAGTCCTCCGCGGCGCGTCATTTCGTGAACAAACGGACCAAACGCTTGTTGACGGCGTTTATCCGGATGATGTTCTGTCGCCCATGTCCCTGGGCATCAGAAACCTGGCTGACTCACCTCAATATGGGCAGACATCGCGCAAAGGGAAGGAACGGGAAGCGAATGTGATGTCGCCGACCAGGCCACGGACGCCGTATAACGGATACAGTCATCTGAGGCTGGAGCCATCGCCGGTTTGGCGCTCGAGTGAGATGGAGCCCATCACGTATCCGCCGCGGGCAAAACCACTGGAGCGCCACGCTACCTTCCCGCTCGACGCCTCTTCTTCCTCGGCAAGTTTGGTGTCGGTGCGGACTGTAACGTCGAGCTCTCCGTCGAAGAGTGACCATCAACATGTACTGGGAAAGCAAGATAGCGACGGGAACCGGGTTTGTGAGAAGTGCGGGAAGAAATTCATTCAGAAGACAGTGGCGAGTCCGAAGAAGGGAATTGTTGGTTACTGATTTCAAGTTTTTGGGGAGTTGAGGATTGACCTAGATCTTGTTGTGTTGTGGTATGATGTATTATAATGTTGTCTATTTGTTCCCAAAAAATCTTTCTGTGGCATGAAAGGACACCAGATTCATCTTGTAACTTGTTGTCCAATATCACCCCAAAGAAAACTGGTCCTGGAAGATCTTTAATTTTTTTTTAAATGAGGGTAATAACTGGTCAAAAAAGGGCAGAACAACCCAACTCTCCTAATACAAAAAGGCTCCTTATGATCAAAAAAGTTCCATTTTTCACCCTACAGGTGACTTTTTTTTGCTTCAATCTGGGAAGCTGTTTGTCTTCATAGATTTCTCCTATCCACTCGACTTTTTCAACTCCCCTTTCCAACCAATAAACATGGCTATTTTTGGCCCATTATTACCCTCATCCAAAATTTTAAAAATGCACCAGTTTTCTTTAATTTGGAATCCTTGTGTGGAAGGGAGGATCGGTCATGTGACCTTTCATTGCTTGCCCACGACCACCAAACCACAAATTTATTCTTTAAGAACTAATATTCCCGCAATGGACAGTGCAACAAACCTTCCAGACCTCCCGACTGAGCTGGAACGAGTAATATTTGAAATGGTGGCGGAAGATGACTTGCAGGATGGATTGAGACTTTCGTTTGTGGCCAAGCGCGTGCGAGAATGGTGAGCACTCGGGCTACTGGATCTTTTCTGTTTTGAAGGCTTCTTTTAGGGTCGAGCCCATCATATACCGCCGCCTCGTCGTCTACAGAACCAAGTGGCACACTCACGATGCGGAGCTCAAGCTCAAGCCCGCGGTTTTCCCTTTTAAGCGGACGGTGGACCTCGCCCAACTACAAACTATGCGCTTTGCGCGCCATGTCCATACTCTCTACGTGGCCAACATCACGGTGCTGGAGCTATCGACGCTGCTGACCGCCTGCACTCGCATTTCCGAGCTGGGAATGTCGGAATGCGTCTTGGATTCATCCGTTTTGGGACTCATTAACGCCCGCAAACTCTCTCGGCTGTCTGTAGGTGGGAAAGAAGACTATTTCGCAACATCCTTCAACTTCCCGTCCCGCGCGCTTACTGCCACGCTCACGCATCTGGACCTCACTTCGGAGAGGGTGCCGACTGGGACGCTCGCCCGGTTCACGCGGCTGACCCACCTCTGCTTTTTTGCCGAGCACGTGGCGCCGGAGGAGTCCTGGCGGGAGAGCGTCTTTGCGACGCTTCCGCAGCTCAAAATTTTGCTCCAGATATCGTCGGTCGCAGTCGTGCAGCACGCGCGCCGCTTGCCGCCGGTTTGCGACGATCCCCGCTTCATTGCCCTCGCCCCGCCTCGCTCGCGGTACTTCCCCAAGGGCCGGTTGTATGTGGCGCATGGCTGCTGGGAAGCGGCAGAGAGAATTGTGGAAGAGAGAGCGGGTATGTGCCGTCAAGTTACAGTTTCTTCGACTCACACATGCTTATTGGTGGGCAGCTAAATCTAAGAAGACCGAGAAAATCCCAATGCTCACCAGTGTCACCACCTAAAACTTTCGCTGGATGAGTTCATGGATGTAAATGAGTTGGGACCCCAGATTCAAGTTATGATGCCCAACTTTGAATCCTTGAGAAGGGGTGCCATACTGGCCCATACAGATTCTGAGCTGCCTTCATTGTCAGTAGTAGAGTTCTCCCAGGCACAAGTTATGTAAGCAACATGAGCATCTACTTGCCAACCATTGTGCTTGGCTTTGTGCCCTTCACAGCTTTCCACAAGGGCCAGTGAGTTCTGACACACTGTGGAAAGCATTGTAGTCCTCAGGAAGAGCATCTGGTAGGTATGAATATCCCTGAGTGTGTGAAATGCTGTGCACACAAAATACCCAAGGGGACAACTTGGACAAGTGCAGGAGAAACATGGCTCAGTCTGATAAGCCTGGACTTTTTGGCCAAGGTGAACAGGTTTCCACTGGCAGTCTGGCACTCTTGAATCCTTGAGTAGGGCTGTACAGATTATGAGGCCTGGAGCCTCACATATATAACTTGAGCTTGTATAACTACTACTTTCATGCTACTGGATCTGATCCCTTGCAATTTAAGTACTGAGGCTTAGTACTCAAAGAAAATGTCAGCAGTGTGGCGGATCATGCGGTCCGGCGGCTTCCGTCTTTTCCCTTTAACCACCATGTGGATATTGCTTCATCCACCTTCCGCCGCGCCTATCTGATATGTCGCCTCTCAGGGAAGCGAAACCCAAGGTCGTTGTCTGCAGGAGTCTGGGCCCGGCAATGCCCTTGCTGGCACAACAAGCGGATATCGATCTTGTTGTGTGGTCAGAAGATCGGTCATGCCCGCGACCATGGCTCTTGGAGAACATTCCGGGTGCTGCAGGGGTCATTGTGCTTCTGGGGGATAAGGTATGTCTGCGCTTTGGTGCGGGCGAGGCTAACAGCGCCCAAGGTTGACGAGGAGTTTGTGCGGGCAGGTGGGTCCTGAATTTGTGGTGGCTATCGCTCAATCCACCAGCTGGCCCGGGACTGAAGGTCGTATCCACGATGTCTGTGGGATATGGTATGCTCTTTTCTCGGCTTCTCAGGCTTTGACCTCTATCCAGAACACATTGATCTTCCGCTCATGGCCCGCCACAACATTCGCGTTGGATACACACCCGACGTCCTCACCGAAGCCGGTCAGCTGGCAATGCCACTCAACGCCCCCTTGAACTTATGTCTACAGTCGCGGATATAACCATCATGCTGGCGCTCATGGCAGGGCGGAACGACAACAACGTTTACTCGACTGTGAAAAACGGAGATGTACGGAGCCGCATCTTGCTCGCCACATCCTGACGCTCGGCAGTGGGCTCGGCCAAACTTTGCATGGTCGCCGTTCAAACTTTGTGGGCCCCAACTGAGCACGACGCTGTCGTCTCCGACACGCACGGCCGGGTTTCTGGGTTTTGGCAGGATTGCCCAAGCCACGCTCGCCCGTCTGGTGGGGTTTGGGGTCACGCATGCACTGTATACCGGAAACCCGGCTTCCTCAAACTCTTCCGTGCGTGACGAGGAACTCAAAACTCGACACCGGCTGCAGGCGTTGGAGCGCGTGGATGTGGACCGACTGGCCCGAGAGAGTGACATATTGTTTGTCTTGACACCAGGCGGGGCTGGGACGTATCATCTCGTTGACGAGGCGTTCTTACGCAAGATGAAGCCGCTCAGTTTGCTTGTCAACACCAGGTAGGCGCATATGCAAGCTTTCAGCTCAAGCTAATACGTCACGAAAGTCGGGGATCGGTTGTGGACTCTGACGCCTTGGCCAAGGCGCTGAAAGAGAACTGGATATGGGGTGCAGGGCTGGATGTCGTCGAGGGAGAGCCACTGATAACGGAGGACCACCCCCTGGTGAAGGAACCCAGGTTTGTACTTGCCTCCTTATCATACGACGCTCATTATACCTGTAGATGCGTCATTGTCCCACATATCGGTAGTGCGACGTTTGAGACACGACTGGATATGGCAACACGGGCAGTGGAGAATCTTTTTGCTGGTCTTTTCGGAAGAGACATGCCAGCCGAATTGAGAGTTTGAAAAGTGTAGAGGTAGGGAATGATGTAGTTTTCACCCTGAGGAATTGAAAAAAAACTGGAAGATTTTTTTTAATATTGAATTAAGGTAATAATGAGCTAAGGAAGAGACACCTTCATTTGTTGGGCAAAATGGATTAAAAAAGATATGATAAGTAGAACAACAATCTTATGAGAAACAAAAAGGAATCCACATTGTAGAAAAAAAGCCTCTTATGCCCAGATATGCTCCATTTTCCCCACATAGGCACCCTTTTTATACTACAATCTGAGAAGCATTTTTCTGTTTACATTTCGTGGGACCTAGGCTATTATTATTATTTCCTATTTAGCTGACATTTTTTAAACTTTTTTTGTGATTAATAAAACCATTTTTGCACCCATTATCACCCTCATTAAAATTTAGAAAAATGCTCAGGTTTTCTTCTGAGTCCTCAGGCTGTGTGCTAGCCTCCCCATAAACGAAAACTTGTTCGCAAAAAACCTTCCGCGCAAGCGTCGGGCTGAGTAAAATGCTCTGACCACGAATAGCGCTCGTTACGGATCAGCCATCCGAAGCACCGAGACATTACCATAACCGGGTCAAACAAGAGCAACCACCAGCCCCTGGGTTGCTTGCCGCGAGTTGCTGGAATTCGACGCGTCTACGTTGGTGACACGGATTGCGACGGCGCGCATTCTATGCGTTATCCAATGCCGAAATTTGCATCACCGCCGTCGCGGGCGTTTGGAGCCATCGTTTGTGGACGCGTGGTCGATCATCTCTAAGCGGCCCTGGATTGCGAATGAAAAACACGGAGAAGTAAGGGGCCCCTCCTTGCACCAGAACCACCATGGCGCGGGCGAAGAGTCGGACGACAACACCCTCGCCTTCGAGTGGCTTGTTGGCGCTGACAGACGAACTTCTTCTTGAAGTTGTCTCTCACCTGGAGCGGGACCCATCGCCGTCTTCCCATTATGGAGTCTTTTTCGAGTCAAGACAGCAGTACGGTCGTACGAAGGCGCTTCTGGCGTTGGCGCAAACTTGTGGTCGACTGCGGGGCTTGTGTTTGAAGCTCGCGGTTCAGCACGTTAGGATGGACTGGTCGGGCAGGGGGATTTGGTCTGGAAGAATGGCGCTACATCCTGATATTGGGCCGCATGTTCGGTGAGTCTTGCTAAGCTAACCCTCGCCTTTTCCTGCTAACCTCACCCACACCAACAGCACAGCGGACTTCGACCTTCCATGTGAACCCGCTCTTCCCGAATTCGCTGCCTGTCTCGCGTCGTTCCCGCTCCTCCATACGCTCACGGTCTCACCAATAGGCTCACAAGGGCCGCTCCGGTGTTTCCGCTATCCGATGTCTCAGCCACCACATTCGCTCTCTGATATCCTCCACGACCACACCTTCAAGTCGATTCAGACACTCAACCTCCACTTTCGCGCCTTCTCTTTGGTTCGATGCTGTCCTAACGTGGAGCGCCTGGGGCTATATGGCGAGTGGAGAGAAGTCAGTGGCGACGATGGATTGCGACTGGAGATGATCATATCAGATTTGAAGAACTACGCTACGAAACTGAGGGCCTTTCGCTGCAACTTTTTCAAGAATTTTCCGAGGAGCATCTTGGGTACTTCAGCACTTTCTTGAATCACACAATCACACACACTCACCTGTGCCGCTTAGTGCTTCAATTCTTCTCTGTTCTGGAAGAAATTCCCGATATAGACGTCCAGAATGTAACGCCGGTGCGCTCAAAAAAAAGTCCTATCTTCATTCGGTTTTATTTATTCGGATCAGGACCTCGTTCAGGAACTCGAAGTAATGGAGAGCCTGTGTCGCATTACCTTCCATCAAGGTCCATGGATGGGGCAGCACCAACTCGGCCTGGGCACTCTGCAGCTGGTGCAGACCGCGAAGGACGTGCTGCGTCGGACAGCGCCGGGCGTATCTCCAAAGGACAAAGTCGTCCTCGTCAACGTGGGGGACGAGGGCGAAGAGGTTCCCCCACTGGTCTTTGCGGTGGACGCGGAGGAGAAGGCCAGGTCGGTTTGTTCAGTGGATCGGTGCACGGTTTGTGCAGAATCGGAATGGCATTGGGATGGACTGTAAATCGGAGTGGACTAGTGACACTATATGCAGCAATATCATGATTTGGAACTTGACCTCAGGTTTCTCTTTACATCAGCCTCCACCAACTTATTAAACTCACAAACAAATCATCACAAAAACCATAGCATATAATTGTTGTCACATGAACTACCTACTTACTAAGTTACTTCCATGAGAATAGTTTGGAAAGAAAACTGGATTGTGAGGCTTTTTTAGCTTGAGCTTCATGCAATAAAACAACAATAGGGTGTTGCTGGCCATATTCTGATAAAACAGCTTCATATGCTGTCCCATTTCTACCAGCAACAAGATTGGCATCTGCACCAAGGTTTAAAAGCAGCTGCACAATGTCTATGTGCTCATTCAGTGCAGCTGCATGGAGGGCTGTGCCATAGCGGCCTGCGACCAGGTTTGGGTTTGCCTTTGTGTTTAAGAGAAGCTGCACAATGTCTGTATGTCCGTTCTCTGCAGCAGCCTGCAGTGCTGTCCCATGCCAGTCTACAACCAGATCGATCTTGGCTTTGGACTGGAGAAGAAGCTGCACAGTATTGTAATGGCCTCTGTGTGAGGCTGCTCGAAGTGGGGTGCCATACCAGCCAGCAACTAGATTCACATTGGCACCATGGTTTAGAAGTAGTTGAACCACTTTGTTGTTCCCTTCCAATGCAGCAAGATTTAGTGCTGTGCCATATCCATCTGTCACTTGGTTGACTAGAGCTGTATCTCCTGATCTTAGAAGAGTTCTGATTATTTCCCACTTCTGATTAACCAACTGTAAATCAACCAACTTAGGATCAATGTCAGACTCCTCTATAAAACTTGAGATAGAAGCCTCAAGAACTGTGTGGTAGGAGATATTTGAGTTCTGCCAAGGCTGATCATAGATAGTATCGGCCTTCTGGTATTGAAGCAGGAGTTCAACTACATCTAAATGCCCAAGAAGTGCAGCAAGCATTAATTCAACCCCAGGTTGGCATTGCTTCCTAGTCACAAGATATGTTGTGATGTCAACCATATTTGTCCCAGCTGCAATTGTCAAGGCTGTGATATCATATTTTGCAATAAGTTTCCAAGACTGCAAAGACCATCTGGTGTATAATGGTTGATTGACAGATAGACACTGTAGGCACTCTACAATCTGCTCTGCCATCAGCGTATCTGGTTTGCCCTTGATATGCAAGGGAAAATATTGACAGTAGTCTATAAGTGCAAAGCCTGGATTGACTCTCCAGTGAGGAGGATCAGAGTTTTCATCCCAATAATATTCCAGGTGAAGATGGTCTTTGATGATCATTAAATATGATATCAAAGCTTTTGTAATCTTAGTCTGGATATCAGGAAACTCTCTAGCAAGAATTTGTTGTATGAATTCTTGTGCCGTATGATGCATAAGCTGCACTACATTTGTCTGCTTATCCACATCTAAGACCCCATGACATATGTCAATAAGCATGCTTATTGGAGTAATAGAGTCCTCAGTTGGAAGGACTGTTTTTGTACTGATTGCAAGAGCTATCTGTAGTTCCAAAACTTTCAATGGTCTTTCAGAATATATGATCCAGGCAAGAGCAAGAAGTGCTAGCTGATAGTGTTCTGGGGGTTGTTCTTTGATCTTACTAATGATTTGTATATAACTATCCTTCACTGTATTAGGAACACCTTTGAGTATATTTTTGATATTGCCTGGTGATGTTGCTAAGAAAAGTTGTTCCATTTGGAGTTTGACAAGCAGGAACCTATTATCTCTATTGTTTAATACACATTATATTCATATTATTTACTCACATGCCACTTTCAGTTCCTCTGGAGACAATATGAATATCTATTTGCTCCTGCAACAATGGATCTCTCTCAATCATTTCTGAAAGATGCTGATGTAGCTTTATTTGATCATGGACATAATGTCTGACATCCTCTCTATTAAGCTGAACCTTCAAGATTGTAAAAGCACCATCAGGAGGTATAGATAGATATGATTGACAAGTAATCATTAAATTGACACTTGCAAGTTTTCCAATCTTCAGAAGTTGTTGAAGGAGTATGCTACGTGGAGTTGCTGGATATTCATCTAATGCATCAACCAGAATATACACAGTCTTCAAATGAGAGATAAGAGTAGTACTCAGTTGATCCAACTCATTTAGAGTGATACAAGTGTCCTGCTTCTTGTGAGGATTATATATATATCTTGCATCTTCAATACTATTGTATTTGATTAACTGTCTGCACAAAGACCCAAGGAGCTTGTTGAGGGTTTGACCTGCAGTATCTTTGTAGTTGAGATAGGCATATGCTATGCCAACTGTTTCATTATCCTTATGGGCCTGCATCAGATGCTCTACCACTTTGGACCTAATGAAAATATATGATCAGTTCATATAAAACATAAATATGAGATTAATTGACATGAGAACAGTTTTCCCCACACCAGCTGTTTATTAGTGATTAGACTCAAAAAGCAGGCTAGAGAAAAGATGCTTACCAATGCCATGACACCAAAGATGTTGGCCAGAGCCTGAGCTCCACTTGATAAAATCTGGGTGCTGCAGAATCCATTCATCGGTGCCTGGATGGCAACCTTCAAATATCTTTTGCTGCTGGGGAGCAAAATTGAGAGGGGAGATCCATGTGAGGAGGTCTTTGTCTGAATAATGTTTGAAATCTTTAGTAAGAGCAAGGATGAAGACAACTACCTGCTTTATCTGCGTCCCCATAGATTCTGATTTGGTGAGATAATAATCCAATTATGTTGAGAGAATGGAACACTCACATATCTCCTGCAACATGAATTTGGGCACCTTGACCCGCTCCACCACGACCGCCACTCTGACCACCGGCACCACCTGCCCCTCCAATCCCCCCTGCGAGAGTATGTCATCATATATTTCATTAATATACAGGCATATGTATACCATAAACATTCATGACCGTTGGCTTGTCGCTAGCAGTAGGCGGCATTCTGTGATATCCAGATTATTGTTTGCAAGTCTCCGAAATGCGGGGGAAATGCGCAACTTGGTGGTTGAGAGCAGGAGGCTACCTCGTCTGAGCCTCATGGTCACCACGACTCATCATCAAAGGCCATTCTGTCACCCAAAGGTTTACCGCGCTGTTGTCAAGTGTTACTATATTACACCTCCCCTTCGACTTCCTACTTTTTCTGACCCTGCATGCAGGTATAAGCTAGCTGCTAGAATAGATAGATAGGTATGTATGTATGTACTTCAACAATGGGGGGAGTGGCAAACGGAAATAGGAAAGCAAGTACTAGTGGGTTTCACAAACACATTGAGAGAGGCACAACAGATTTTGGGTTCAGACAAACAAGTCAGTAAATAAGAAAGATGGGATGGAACATTCGTGAATGGTTTAATGCGGGAGTTCGTTCGTTACTCGTGGAAGTCGAAGAGGTCGTCGTCGTCTCCTCCGCCAGCGCCAGCGCGCTGGATACCGGGGGGATGCGTCGGAGCAACAGGAGGTAGGTTGGGTATCCCAGGCGGATGGCTGGGCACGCTGCTCTTATTTGCAGCAGCGGAATACGACAGCTTGGCAAACATCGCATCAAGCCCACTCGCACTAGCGTTGACATTCGGCTTGGAGGGCACGGCGTTTGTCGGCGAGGAAAGACCCGGCGGTACACCACGACCACCAAGAAGACTGATTGGCGCAGGACTTCCCCCAAAGCTGGCGCTTCCAGCGGACATCGATGCCCAATCGCGCATTTGCAGTCCGGTGCCATTGCCGTTGTGCCCCATCGCAATGCCGTTTGGGCTGCCGACACCCAACGGGCTTCCTACGCCGCTGCTGACACTCCCAACTGGTGGTAATGCGTGTATCCGCGAATAACCAGCAGCGAGACCTTGAGGAAGACTTTGACCAGGGGCATGCGCCTGTAGTGCCCGCGAGGCAGGAGAAAGAGCATCAGCCCCGAGAGTGGTGTTAGCGACATTGTTGTTTGCACCAAGCCGCGCAGAGAGATTAGAGGTCAATGCGGATGGTTGCTGGGTAAGGTCGAAGGGATTAGGGCGAATGTAAGCCTTGTCGTTCGCGTTGAGGTCTCGTGGGCCAGTGGGCCCACTTTGGAGATATGCAGCTAGGCCTGGCGGTCCATTTGTTAGTGCTGCATTCGATGATAGCGCGCCACCATGTTGTTGTTGCTTGTTCTGTGCGATATAGTGGTGTATTCCGGGTAAAAAGGCGCCACTCGCATTGCTTGGCGAAAGACCACGGATATTGGAGTCCACGAATGACGAGGGAGTACCAACGGGGTGGTCGAGGCCAGAAGTGGCCGAGGAGTACGACGTTGACAAGTTGGCGGACTGGTCATTCGACCAAATAGACTTAAGGTCTCCACCAAGTAGGGATGGTGCGGGCACTGAACGGGAATAGCGATGGCCAGTGACAGGGGGAGGAGCAAGCGGGACGCCAATTCCGCCACGAGGAGAGGTGCTTAAACCAGGGGATTGGCCAGAGTTGGTTCGCGACATTCGCCGATTGCGCTCTTCTGGAGTGAGCAAGTCGGTGAGGGAGCCAGGAATGAAGTCCTCGAGATCTTCATTGGAATCTTCTCGTTTACGACGAGGGATAGCAAGCTCATCGGATAGGAGGGAGCTACGGAGTGGAGAACCTGATGTAGCGTTGCCCCAGCCAGCAGGCCCAGCGCCAAGACTGGCTGCAATACCCTTGTTACGATCAGGATAGTTGAGGAAAACAGAGGAAGATCCGGGGGCAGAGAAAGGCGATGTCGATAACATGCCGTTTGTGGGTGGAGTTCCGGAGGGGTTACGGGAAGGAGAGGTCGGTGGAGAGCCAATGGGGCCGAAGTCTTTCCCTGGGGAAGTACTCGCACTTGGCCGACGAGGAGCCGAAACAGGAAGTGTTGGTGACGGAGACTTGTTCCGGGCTGGGGCATTTGGAAGGGGTGCTGTCTCGTCAAGCGCCGCAAAGTCGGTGTCCTTGAGAGGGGGAGCTGGAACCGACGGCGAGATGCTTGCTTTCAATGGCATACTCATTGGGGGTCTTCCACGGCCACCACCACCACCAACAGCAAGGAGCTTGCTTCCACCAGTGTCTCGTCGGTTGTTTCCTCTCCCTGACTTGGCCTCCCCTCCACCAGCGCCTTTGGTCGCCCCAGCAGCAATCTGAGCCGCCTTCTTGTTTTTCCGGTCCATCGACATGCTCTGACCCGGCAAGATATGCGCTAACGCACACTTGTGGCCAAACTTGCAGTTGCCCTTGACGAACCAAGCACAGACATCTTTGTGGGCGCCTGGCTCCGCAGCGCTGTGCGAGAAGGGGCAAGAAGAGCCTGCAGTGCACGAGCCGACCTTGAAGAACTTGCATGGAACGTGGGAAAGGTCCTTCGCTGCGAAGAAAAAATGTGAGGAGAGAAAAAAGCAAAACGGCGTGGCCACGCACTCTTCGACGATGACGAGCCAGACTTTTTCCCGCCCTTGTCGTCCTTATCGACTGGCGACGCTGGTCGTTCTGCAGACGGCATGGCTGGAACGAAACACAGGAGGCTCAAGACCGAGCCTCACAAAAAAGGGCCGGAAGAAAACGAGGTACGGTGACTAAGCTATCCATATCAGGAAAGTCCTCCTGATGTGCTCGATATCGAAGATTATCTTTTTATAACCCTCAAACGCCTGTGAGTCCATGGGATAATTCTGGCGGCGTTATATTAGCCTGCTATTGCCCGGGGCTTACTGAGTCCTGACTCGAAATGTGACTCATTTCGCGTGATGCATATGATGTTTCTTGATTTGAACGACCATGTCATAGGGGGAAATTCTCGCCTCTTGCGACATATACACCGTGCTCTTATTCACTATAGTTCGTGGTAGTCCTCTCCTTAGTGCATATATACTGATGATATTCCATTTCAGATCAATCAACGTTGTCGTTCGCTGGCGCTTAGCAAACAGCTCTGGATCCGGTTACTCCGTCAACTCTTTGCACGGAACATCCTCTATAACATCACCCAAGATGTACTCGACAGCTCCGATACCTTCACTCTGATCGACGAGGTAAAACGACTTGTTGTGGGTCCCACAAGTTGGTCGCCAGCCTACTCCGAGCTTCCAAAGCGGCGGCAGCAAATATCGATTCCCATTGACCCACATCTCGGCTATCCGGAGACCGTCTGGCTGCTTGGCGGTGAAAAGTACGCCAGAGTCAACTGGTGGGGCTCTGACGGTACAAAGGAGCGGATTTACGAGTTATCGACTACACGCTGTCTTGCATCGTTTGAAGCAGAGGGCGACCCCTCGTTCGCTCTTGCAACGGACTTTTTGACGCATGCATGGGACAGCTTAGCATATGCGCTTTCATTCAGGTACCAGCCAGGCGTGTGAGTGGATTCATCTTCAGAACTCGCCCTAGTTACGAAATAAGACTCCTTTAGCAGTGGCCCCGGATTAGCCTGGCAGAGCGATCAGTATATCGCCAGGTTGGAGAAAATCGATCTTTCCGCTGGAGGAACAGAACAGCTATTGACACTAAATTTCCCGGCCCTGCTTGCATCATGCATAACGAAAGCAGACTCCCAAATGAACTTGGGAGGCGAATGCTTGGCTTTTTTGACCAACTGGGAAGAGAAACCGCACCATAGGCTTTTATTGATAGGCTGGAAATCGTTCGCCTTCGCCATCGTTGGTCTTCCATGCTCTATGGTTGAAGCACAAATCAGTTTCGAAATACTGCCCGGCTTGCTTTGCACCAGCTTCCTGTCGGAATCAGATGGTGTCTCCCGCCTAGACCTCTACTCGCTGACATCGCTCACTTGGAATTCTCTGGATCCTCTGCGGGGGTCGTTGCGGGCAGAAGATTTGATCGCTGTCGACCATCCCTCGCCTTTGTTTTCGGAGCAATATATTGCCCAGCCGGGCATACAATCACTTGCGCTATATCGTGACCCACTGAGGACAGCCAGCTACAAGGTAGTGATGTACGTTTGCCCGCCCGCCAATGTCGTTTCGGCGCGGCAACTCGAAATCTGGCGCGCTCCAGTAGAGGCACAGTATCACCTTCCTGAGTCCACCCACGCCGTTTCTGTCCCGACGCTCTTCTCCTACCGCCTCACAGCCGAATTCTCTGGCTCCGAGTCCATGCCGACCTTATGGAATTTTTCTCTTCTATCTGCTGTACCAGCTGCGAACATCAACGGTCGTGATGTCGGCACTATTTCCTACTCTGGCTATACCTTCGAAAGCCTGAACGACATTATCCTCGATATCAGAAGAGAGCGAGACGGAGTGGTGTCTGAATCTGAAGTCCCTCGCACTGTTGTGAGACGGTCAGACATGAAATGCCTGGAGGACATCGGGGTGTACACGGTGGGCGATGTGGAGTATGTTGGGCAGTCACTGTTATTTTCGAATTATTGGTAGAGATATAATTATAACCTCGAATAAATGTTGTTGCAGTCCAACTAAATCTAGTATCCCGGCCAGTTCTATCTAGTTTGTGGTACATATTGACTTCGATGCCGATCAGTAGCTCTTCCGGAGGCTAGGGTCCTCCCTACGCCTTTGGGTTCAGATTCGAAGGAAGTGCTGACTAATAGTAGAAGCTGCTTCTTTCCTCCCTCACCACAACACCAAAGGCTATGCTCCCTGGTGGGCTTCCTCAGCCTCTTACCCTTTTTCAGTTGCTCAGATATATGCAGGACTCGCAGCCTACGGCGATGACTCTGACACGGAGCCCACGACGAGATCCAGCCCACCACATCGGAATGGACCAATACATGTGAGGATTCTCCGCACCCTGCCCGCACCCATTTCCCTCCGCTCGCACCGTTTTCGTCTCGGCTAGGACACGGCCACACGCGCGCAGGTTAAGGGAGGCGGTGACGGTGCGTTGACACACTTTTTTCGTCGGCTTTGCTCAGACTCGGAGCTGATTTTACCGCGACAGCGACACGCAAGCTCAAGTCGCAGCTCGTCATAAAGCGCCCGCCGACGACACATAAGGCCCACCCCAGGGCTAGCACCAGCGGCTCGCCCCAGAAGCCAGCTCCACCGTTGTCAACATCATCGACTCCCAGAAACACCCCCACTGCTGACGACAACCCCTCCAGCGATACCAAGCCCAACACCGACGCATCATCCAGCTCGGTGTCCCGATTTGACGAGCTGACACGTATTCGCGAGCTGCTTCGACCCGCGCCAATACCCGGCCTAGTGGATTGGGGGATCCCACCTGCGCCAGACGGACCGTGTGATCCAGCGATGGAGGTGCGCAATTCTTCTTCAGTTTGCGCCTCACTTCTTTTCCTCACTCCGCTTCCGTTTCATTATTTTGATGTTCTACCCTTTCCCATTTCTTAACTTCCTCCAGGCAAAGCTCGCCCAATTCCATGCGCTCAAACACGCTGACCCGCCAAAGCACTTCAACGACTCGCTCATGGGGAGCCGTGCCTTTCGAAATCCGCATCTCTATGCTAAGCTTGTCGAGTTCGTTGCCGCCGACGAACGTGCGACAAATTTCCCGTCAGAGCTGTGGGACCTAGGCAATATCGGCGGGGAAGAAGGATGGGATGCGGAGAAGATCGGCATGTCGTTTTCCCGCCCTTTACTCTCAATTGCTGAATATCCCACTCGCAGCGGAAGTGCAAAAAAAGCGGGCCGAAACACAAAAAGGCGGCGCAAGCACCTGGGAAGCGAACGCAAATCCAGTTCACGAGTGGCAAGCCGTCGCAAACGGACAGGGAACGGTACCACCCCTACGCGCGAGAGAAGGACAAGGAACGGGAAGGGAAGACGCGCTGGGGCTAGCTATATGTCTCTTGGTTGTGCCTGCCTGTTAATAATATGGATCCGCTGCGAGTTTCACAATGAGTGTCCATAAAGGATATCTGCGTGCGAAGTCGTCCGAGTCGAGACACTGTTAGACTACCACCGGTGGCATATGGAGGTGACGTGAAAAGATTGAGCTACAAAAATCTGTTATAATATTTTTCTAAGCAAAGATAATCCTTTAGTTGGCACCTGTGCTAATTTAAATTGGCCATGGGTTCTGTTATAGTGGGCTTTAGACAAAAATAGTCCCCAAAGGAGGACGTAATTTTTGAGAAATAATGTGAGGAAAATAGGACTATTTTCAAAACTCTGATAAAACAAGGGCCAGATCTGGCGCCTGCGCCTGAGACTGAGACCTTGTTTTGCTTTATGTGTATTTTTGTCAGTGATCTGGCTTGTCAGTGTTACAGATTGGTCAATGTTCAACCAAGCAATAATAGGTAATATTGTAAAATTATAACAAATATTTCTGAAAGTAAACTCCCCTTTTTAGAAAATAGTGGGGCTCAAAACCTGGAATGTAGTTCCAGGATATCAGCAAAACACTACTTAACCTGATAAACCTGATATTCAAGCATGCTTGCTTATAAATATATGTAGGAAAGATGAATCATGATAGAGAATATAATTCACCACTCTGGCTTAGATCTGCTCTGTCAGTCAGCTGCTCACTTTGCTTGCTGCCAACCTCCTGAGCTCACCTAAAAAGTCAAAGGGAGATCTAAGACTATGCCTACCTATGAGTACTGATGCACTTTGATTTGTGACAATTGTAAGGGCAACCCCGGAGGCCTGAGATCAAGGTCCTAGCAGGGGAGGATCCAAAGAGAAGAAACTCTGAGGGTCCACCTGCTGGGTAGCTGACTATATACTGCTTGTCTGTAGCTGCCGCTGTCGGGCACAGAAGGCTTGGGCGGTGTCGCAGGCAAGGTCCCAGGGCGACCGTTGGGAGGGCGTTGACGGATCGGTGATTGTGCGGGCGAGATGGAGGGCCAGACCGGAGTCGGAACGGGAGTCGGACCGGAATCGGACGTGTCTGAGTCCGAGGGGCCGAAAGGGGGCTTCCCCTGACAACAATATGTGACATGTTCTAAGGATTGGACATGTACTATCAAAGAGTAAAAACTTTTGGACATTTGTCACACACACACTGTCACATTGTTTCATAGTGGGACCCAGCCAAGAGGTGCAGATTTGTTAGCTTCCCATACATGCAATCACATGTAAAAGTGATCGCAACAGCAACCGACAGTGACCAAACCAATACTTGAAAGGACCTGTGGGGATTCATATGGCAAATTGAAAATTTTCTTTCCCAGTAAAAACATGAATTAATTTTACACATTTTTATATACATTTCTCCATGAAAGAAATACTGAATTTTAATTGCAGGAAAACAGATATCAAAACAACGACTTTTTGCTTGCGTTTCAGACAGAAAGAAAGCTGACCTTTCCCTGGTCATGAAAGACCATTTAAAAGATGGGCTTTCAATGCTTCTTTCTGTTTATATAAAAAGGTCACCTTTGTGTAAAAACAAAAAGATCACTTGAAATTGCCCCTTTTTGCATTCCTTTTTGAGCAGCACAAAGAACTGATTTCAATGATGCTGTCAGGGGAACCCCTGCTTCGGCCTCCTTTGGACCGACCGAGCACATCCGAGGCACATCCGACCGGCGCCCCCTCGGACGCTCCGACCCACCCCGACCATCGTCTACGGCCTCCTTCGCCCGCACAATCACCGATCCGTCAAGACCCTCCCAACGATCACCTTGGGACAGAGCCTGCGACGCCGCTCAGGCCTTCTGCGCTCTACGTCGGCAGTTACGGACGACCAGTATATAGTTGGCGCCCTAGCAGGCGGACCCTTAGAGTTTCTTCTCTTTGGATCCTCCCCTGCTAGGTCGGTCCCTCCGTGTATTTCCGTAGCTTTTATTCACGCTTTGGATCCTCCCCTGCTAGGCTTTCGTCGGAGTCTCCAGGGTTGCCCTTACAGCAGAAGAAACTCTCTACGGGATTAACCGGTCAAGATTGCCAGGTTTGGCGCTGATTCAGGCTCGGAGTACGAGTCCGTGCCCCCTCGTCACCGCCCCTGCCACTTGACCCCCTCCTCCTCTGCTCTTGTCGTCTTTACGCCCGCTATGTCTACCGGAGCTGCTCCGGACGCTGACGCCGCACATGGACGCGCACTTGAGGCGAAACTAGACAACCTCACCAATATCCTCACCCACCTTGCTTCCCAGGCTTCCGCTGCCGCACCACCTTTGGCAGCTCCCCGAACCGCCTGCGATCTCCGAATGCCCCGACGCGGATGCGTTATTTGGTGACATTACTGTCGCCTCAAAACTGGTCTTACGGCCAAACCCCCCGTTTGCGTTTAACGGAGATCGCAAACACGGCCGCGCCTTCCTATACGCGGTCAAGACTTACGCCCGGCTTGCCCTGGAGGCCTTCGTGGTCAACGGAGAGCCGAGCGAAGAAAAGGCCGTCCGCTACGCCATGTCCTATATGGCGGAGGGACCTGCCCAACAGTGGGCAGAGCGTCATGGAAGCAAAACCCCGTTCCCCTTCCCTCGGTGGAACCTATTCCTCTCCGAGTTTCGCCTTCGGTTCGTTGAGGAGAACGAGCAAGACCTCGCGCTTGCCAAGTTGGAAAGCGCGGGTTATCATATGGGAACGCGGGACGTCTACGGATACACCGACGACTTCGAGGACCTAATGGACCTCGCCGGATTCGAAGACGCGTTGGTTAAGGTAACCAAGTACCGCCACGGACTTGACCCCTTGATCAACAACGGCATCACCTCTTCGAACGACCCCCCAGACCTCCGTGACTATCTGGGCTGGCGCACTCGGGCTTTCCGCCAATACGAAGCCTTGGTGCGGGCGAAGCTCATCAAAGGGACCACCCCGCGGACGCCTTCGGGGGCTCCGCGTGGCGCATTCCCTATTGCCCGTTCGGCAACTCCGTTCCCCATCCTCCCGGTGGCCGCACCTGCGCCACCCGCGGCCCGCGCCCCCGTCCCGGTACCTCCGGCTCCCGTCCCTATGGAGTTGGATCATACTAGGGCTCGGGGGCGCCCCTCGTCGAGCCTGCTTCAGATGTGGCGACCCCAATCACTTGGCTCGGGATTGTCCGCTCCCCCGCCGATGTTCGCCATGTGGACATCCTCGACGAGGTAATCCAGCAACTTGGCGACGAGATGCTGGGAGAGCTGCTTGTGCGGTTGTCCGATACCGCGGCCTTAGCGGAGGCGCATTCGGAGGCTCCGGCAGAGGATTTTGTCCCCCGCGACGAGTGACTGGTGTGCCCTCGTTCGCGTCTATGAATTGTTTCACTTGTTTGTATGATGAATCAACTCCCTTGCCCTACAACGAGCCTGAAACGAAAGACGCACCCTCTGCCCCCTCCGAAGCCCCCGTTCGGATTCGCCGACTTGCCTGGGAGAAAAAGCTACCTGGCAGCTATACCATCTCTGCCGCTCCTGGGGTTAACTCGCTCCACCTTCCTCTGGAACTTGAGTCCACTGCGAACACGCTCAAGCTCTCCCTCTCGGGTCTGGTAGACTGCGGAGCCACTTCGGACTTTATCGACACGGAATACGTCAACCGAAACAACGTGCTAGTCCGAAATCTCTCAGTACCCATACCGGTCTACAATGTCGACGGTACCCCCAATGATGCTGGGTCTATTCGCCAAATCGCGGACCTCGTTCGAGCCATAGGTGGAGTTTGTTGACAAGTGTAGCTAGCTATTGCTAGTGAACAACTTGTCAAATCTGGTAGCTTTGCTCAGAGGCTGAAAGTGTCACTTTTGTGACTATGTTTTTAATACTTTATTTAATTACTATTGACCTTATTAGGTAGCTTATCATTATGTAATTGATGGCAGTAAGGCAAAGTCATCCATGTGGAACGATTTTTGATTGCCATCAATGATTCCAATCACTACATCAAGTTACATCATTTTAGTCCTAATTGGGTTTTAGCCTTATTCACTACATACCGGGTCATCGGCCTGAAGAAAAGGAGTTAAAAGTACCATATATAGTGCCTATTAGTCATATTATCAATATCAATATTCAATTAAGTCATTATTTCAAAATTAAGTGCTAGCATTTGTCAAATGTCACTAACTATTGCTAGCCTGCTTATAGCTGGCTTTTTTGACAAGTTTTCTGCTAGCTTTAGCTAGACATTTGTTAAATTGCCCCCCTCTACGGGTGCTCGTTCTACGGTACAACGGACACTCCAAACGCGTTCAGCTGGCTGTAACCCACCTTGGGAAACAGGATTTGATACTCGGATACTCGTGGCTCAAGAAACACAACCCTGAGATCAACTGGGAAACGAAAGAGGTGAAAATGAGTCGCTGCCCCCGAAGCTGCTCCACTTGCCGCGACGAGGAACGGACTGAGCGCGCTGAGGTTCGGCGCCTACGACTCCTCAAATCGTGTTTGCTCTCGGGCGCCTTCCCCACTGTTTGCGCTATCGATATTGCCGGTCCAGACGATGCTGACGACGAACTCGGAGCTACTTCGGACCCTCCGAGTCCCTCACCAGATCTCGACGATGACGAGCATCTTGAAGACGGCGACCACATCTTCTACACCTCCTTTCGCCCAATCGAGGAGATTCGCGCCGGGAGCACCGTGTCCCAACGCCTTGCAGAGGCCTTCGCCCGTAACTCGGCCCCCCCGCCTTCGGAAATTCCGGACTGGGCCAAGGAGTTCCAAGACGTCTTTGACAAGGAGTCCTTCGACACATTACCAGAGCGGAGGGCTTGGGACCACGCTATCGAACTCGTTCCTGACGCGAAGCCCGCTAATTGCAAGATGTATCCGATCTCCCCCCTCGAACAGCGCGAACTTGACGAGTTCATCGAGGAGGGACTTGCCACCGGTCGTATCCGCCCTTCGAAATCTCCGATGGCTTCCCCCGTCTTCTTCGTTAAGAAAAAGGACGGAGGACTTCGG